GCGAAATTCGGAGTTTCTAAATGTTATCCCTCACAACCCTATGGGCCTTCACGGTCTGGTACAGGGATAGCTTTACTTTTACTTATAGCAAATTATTATGGTAATCTTTGTACTTTAAGAGGTTAAGAACATATAAAATTTACCGTAAAACATTTATAGGTAAGTGTTATATTCAGAACTTATCTTCATTCAAAATTAATGTGGTTCTCATGAACTTGGAAGACTATTGTGATGGAAATATTATATAAAATTTATACAAACATTAATCAGGAAGGATCTATAGATCAGCAGGTACTTTTAAAATCTGTACGGAAACGTTTCTCTCATTCTCATCTGTACGTTCGTTTGCAAAGGGGCTCACTCCATTCAGCGCCAGTCACGGTGGCCGAGCGGTCTAAGGCATGAACTGTCTTCTCTCGCTCGGAAGCCGGGATCGTGGGTTCGAATCCCACACAAGGCATGGATGTTTGGTGGTGTATATGTTTATTTTGTGTTTAGGTAGAGGCCTTGTGACGAACTGATAACCGTCCAAGGAGTCCTACCTTCAGTAAAATGCTCATGACACTGAGAGATCAGAGGTCAGGGCCCAAGGAGCTGTAGATCCAGTAAAAAAAAAAACACTGAGCAGAGTCCGCTTGAAGAAATTCCCCGTCTTTTATGGAACACGAGAGTTCATTACTATATTTTTAAGCGGTCACTTTTTTATTTCGCGTATAGATTTAAATATGTAAGATTTGAGGTTTTCACGGCTGTGACTATGAAGAAAGCAGTCTTCTGGATTTAAATAATAAGTAGCTCGGGGTTCTTCATTGAGGTGACTCTCCTGGGATGTCACGCCGTGTCTGCTCGTACACTGTTACCATGGCACCAGACCCAATGATACATAACCTCCTTAATCAGTATGTTTTAATTATTAATACTATAGGTTAAATCCACACGAATGTTAATTTAGTGAAATTAAAACTGTACACGAATTTTAAAAGTGTTCATTGTATATTCTTTCGTTTTTCGACAAATAATTTTCTCTTCTAGCTTAAAGATACTACCGTTCCATAATTTATTTCGAAAAAATTAACATTTTCCCAATGCACTCAGGAACGGACTAAAGCGACTGCGAAGTTATTAGTGTCCTATGTAATAATTCCTTATTGTTGCCTGCCTTGTATCGTGTTTGGTGGATGGAGAGGGTCGAGGGTTAGCTCTGGCCGGCAGTCACACAACTCACCATGTATGAGCGGGAGGGAGAGACGAAAAGACTAGTTTATGACGGCTGCGAGCTTTATAAATTATTCGCTGCTTTCGTGGGAGTGGACGCACATTTCCTTCCCACCTCGAGATTGTCAGCTCTCGTGTGGTGAAGGCGTCGATAGCAAAGAGAGTTGTAAAGATTACAGGGATAGTAGTGTCAGCTGTTTGCTTTACTGTCTGAACCTGCAAATCCTTGACAAATTTGTCTGCATCCCTTATTGAATCTGAATGCATTTTAACGACAGTTGTTTAAACAATAATAATAATAATAATAATAATAATAATAATAATACAATTAATACATTTCAGAATAGGCCATATGTGTATACTATTTGTCCTCGTTATAATCATCAGCCGCTTTCTATGTCATATTCCTGGTGATCTGTTACGGTCTCCTGGCAGAATTTCTAGGGATTACTCAAAGATCGTCTTTTTGGTTGATAACGAAAATTCGGAGTGGGATACTTGAATAGGGAGTTCGAGGAATGTGGATTCTTCAGTTAAATCTGTAATTTTCTAAGAATTTTATGGATAGTTGCGAATTTGATTTCATCTTTATCCCTAATTTTCTCTCAAAATCCAAAAGTAATGTTAAAATAAATATAAATGACATTTTGATGATATTTTGTATCACCACAAGGCCCAGGTATTCCCTGTCTCAAACATGTCTGAAGGGGCGTTATCATTCGAGAGTGAGAGCAAACTACAGGAAACAAAATGTGGCCGAGCACAGAGAACGTGTTTTGCGTAAGGATTTGTGCCCTTCGCAAGTGTTCTAGGCAAATACTGGGAAAGATAATGATGTGAGAAGAATCAAAGAGACTGAAATGGCGATAAAACATGCACAAGAATGTACGGCGTCATTTGAATGCAGAGCCGAGATGGCTATGGTTTTGCTGTCACTAAACCAATCTCAATAAATGGTCTGTTTATTGAATCCTGTGCGCGTGAGGTGTGAGCATTAGGCTTACTCGTCATTTGTGAGTTAGTATGTCACCCTCTTCCAGTATTGATGTGGAATATTTTACAACACGAAGGATGTAAAGAACGGCATCCTATATGATCTGTCTTGCACTCAATTCTGAAGTTTCAATTTTATGTAAATAATAGCGAAGAATTTCTTTCAGAAAGCACAATTAGTCTCGATGATAGAGGCTAAGAATTTAAAGTTTTTAAGAAAATATTCTGAGAATCACACGAAACCTATACATAAAGCCTGTGGACAGAAAGTTGAATTTTGAATGTTAAGGTACGTAATACATTTAGTACTGGTAATCATTGTGTCTCACAGAGTTAAACTGTCAATATAACATAAGTTAGGTAACAGATTTTTGAAAATGTGGCACAGTTCAGATATTTAGGAACGACGATAACAAATCAAAACCTAATTCAGGAGTAAATTAAGAGGAGAATGAACTCTGATAACGTTTGCTACCAGGCAGTCCAAAAGTTTTCGTCTTCTCTTCTGATGTCTAAAAACATAAAAATTAGAATATAGAAGACTATAATTTTGCCTGTGGTTATGTAAGGGTGTGAAACCTGGCCTCTGACATTAAGGGCGGTACATGGACTGAGGGTGTTTGAGAACAGGGTGTTGAGGAGAATATTTGGGCCGAAGAGAGATGAAGTGACAGGAGGTTGGAGAAAACTGCGTAATGAGGAGCTTCATAACTTGTACTCTTCTCCAAGTATAATTAGATTGATCAAGTCAAGAATGATGAGATGGGCAGGGGATTTAGCACGGATGGGGAGAAGAGGAATCCATATAGGAATTTTGGGGAAAAACCAGTAGGAAAGAGTCAACGGGGAAGACCAAGACGTAGGTGTGTGAACAATATTAAAATGGATCTTAGAGGGATAGAATGGGATGGTATAGATTGGATTGATCTGGCTCAGGATAGGGACCAGTGGAGGGCTCTTGTGAAGACGGTAATGAACTTTCGGGTTCCATCAAATGCTGGGAAGTTCTTGAGTAGCTGCACAACTGGCAGGTTCTCAAGAAGGGTTCAACTCCATGAGTGAGTGAACGAGTGATGTATTCAGATGGTAGGCGGTATATTTGTGTGGCCTTACGAGCAGCAAGTGGATTTATCTCTAATGACGATAAAAATAGAATATTCGACTGTATTATCGTCTAGTTGCTTTCGCGTGTTCGGGAATTTCAGTACTACCGTATATAAATAACAGAACAAGAATAATGTTATCTAAGGAAATGTAACAGTTTTAGGGAAAATGTTTCGTAAAAAATACACACGCTGTGATTATTTTTATCAGTTTATGGCCTTGGTTCCACATATTTTCGTTCGATATTTAGCGAATATTAACAACATTTAGATATAATTAAGGAGCTTGAAGCAAACAAAAGAACAAAAAGCAAAATGAGCACTTGTTTAGACATACTGCCACAGTCAGTAAGTTCGTGGAATGGCCGCAAAGCGCCGTAAGGGGGAATTTACTGCCAGTATGTTTCAGCAATGTTTTCGGCAGCTATATCAACGTTGGCAGACTTGCATAGCGGCCAACGGCAACTATTTTGAGGGCCGATGTGGATCTGCATAAATGTATGGGAATACTTTGTAATATGATGCGATAAAACCACATTCCACGAACTTAATGACTACCACGTATAAGCGAATTAAAGAAACTCCACCAGCCTCGAATTAATTTCGTGAAAGATAAAGACCATAAACTTTGTTCACATTCTTACAGTAAGTTCAATAAGTGGAATAATTTTTTTTTTCAGTGTGCCTCGGGTTGATGACTGTTAAGGAAAATGAGATAACTACATACACCTGAACTAATAGTATTTGAGTCTGGCTTCGTTGAAGTTGTAAATGCTCTTCAGAAGTTGAAGAAGTACTCAAGAAGAATGGAACCAGAAGATTAATTTGCTTACTGTCCATTGGATTCCCCCAAGACTGACTTTGCTGCTCCAAGTTGCAGTAACTGTTAATCTGGGTTTAATTTTTAATTATGCCTTTGTATAAACACGTGTACGTATTACTTGATGTCCGTTCCGTGAAAGATATTTCATTTGAAACTGATCAGGCTACCTGTCATCCCGCAGTATCTAAACTCACGTAGTGTTGAGAAATCGTAACTTTCAGCTACCTTTGTCGGCTAATATCATTATTCCTACAATTTTACGTACTTAGTTAGTAAAGAGGTAGAGGTAAGAGTGAAGTTGTCCCTGTACTTAAGTAATTAAACACTAAGCCATGAAGGCGTATGGGGGAGTGGATGTATAAATCCATATTTTCTTTACCTCTACACTAGTTGGAGGTGAGTAATTAATTAGTAATATGCAGAAATTTAAAACAATAGAATACTATTAGTCGCCCATTAATGAGAGAAACCACAGCCTGATTGAATTAGTTACATACCAAAAATAATACACTTGCATAGAATTTATCGATAACAAATTTCAATATCGATACCGCCCATTGACGCCTTTATGAACCCTACAACTGGAACTTACGGGACTTCATCAGGACGAGATCAGAACTCTCTCCAAAGGAACTTAATAAATCTAGCTCATCTGCTGAAAAAAGTCGTCTTCTGGGATGTGGCGTCGTGTAGATATTGTGTTAACCGACGTTTTGGAGGAACGTATCGCCTCCATCTTCAGGGTAGAAGAAAACAGAAGAAAATCCGTGAGCGAGTAACCAATGTGAGCAGGTGCTAACATGCTGGTGTACCCTGAAAATGGAGGCGATACGTTCCTCCAAAACGTCGGTTAACACAATATCTACANGGTGTGCTTCTTCATGTCTGACTTCTGGTGGAAGCGTTTGCCACAGAACTGACACGGGTAGGGTCGCGTGTCCGAGTGGATCAGCAGGTGTGTCGAGAGCGTGGACGAGCGCTTGAACGACTTGCCGCACTGTTTGCACTGCAACAGGAAGAGTAAGTCCGTCACAAGTCTTGTGCAGACGCGTGGGGAGTGAAATGGATGAACCGGAATTTGAAGTAGTCAGAATTATGTTCCCTGGGTTGATCTGCTGTTTCCTTTTCCTGGGTTTGCCTAACACATACTCAGAAATGTAAATATTGCACTATGAACTGTGGAAACATGGGTGGGCCTATGCAGCTATATATGTTTGTATTTTATTATTCAGTTATTGTTTACAAAGACAAAAATAACACCGTCCAGTGTGACTATTAAAGTTTTATCATTTGAAAACTCATCACCCTTATCCGTTTTGTTATTACAATAGGTGTTAAGTAACACCTATTGTAATAGTAGTTTCTGAACACAGTATTGATGCCCTCTGAGGAAGATCCGTAGGGATCGAAACATGTAAGGGTGATGAGTCTTTAAATGATAAAACTTAAATAGTCACACTGGACGGTGTTATTTTTGTCTTTGTAATTGTTAGTATGACGGACCAGAATGAAACACATAAAATTCATAGTTATTGTTTATTTAACGACGTTCTCATTAGCTCAGACTATATGGTGTCGATTCATACTAAAACATGGTAAAACTGTCCTTTGCTTAACTAATTAAGTACTACGCAATTAAGACGTGTACGGGAATAGGTGTATAGATCCATGTATTCTTGACTTCGGCACTAGTTGAAGGTGAGTAGCCAGCTTCACGCCCCGGTCGCATTACCCTCCGAGGCAAATGATAGTATGATTAAGGGATAATAAATTGGAACACACGTGGCAGAAAGCGCCCGAGATACTTTTTGGAGGGGCAAAGTAAAAAAAAAAACGTGAAAAGCGTCGGTCAGAATAGCCAGCTGAACCCCAGCCTCCGGATCCGAAGCAGAAACGTCAACCACTCGACAGCAACGTTCAGTGGCGTTATGTAAATATAAAGATTGTTGCTTCAGATGTCCTTTATATGGATTCCTATGTTCCCTAACGAAGTTATTTTGACTGCCGGCTGATCACAGTGGCCGCGCGGTGTAAGGCATGAACCGTATTCGCCCGTTCGAACATTGTGATCGTGGGTTCGAATCCCACTCCAAACATGAATATCTGTTTACAATATTATATTTGAGCATCCTGTTACACTCGCACAATATATATAACATAAACGCCGTCTTAAGTGTAACAATTTTATTGTAGTTCTTTCTTCTTCCCCCTCACTCCACACTACATCAGGTGATGGCCATTTAGGGCCGAAACATGTAGTGTGGAGTGAGGGGGAAGAAGAAAGAACTACAATAAAATTGTTACACTTAAGACGGCGTTTATCTTATATATATGAATATATGTGCCTGTTTATTCTGTGTTTGTGTTGTTTGTAGGTAGTGGCCTTGCGACGGGCTGATCCCCAGCCAAAGGAGTCATACTGATTGTAAAAGATGAAGAAACTGAAAATGCGGCCAAGGCCCAAGAAAGTGCGGTAGAGCCATAAATAGATCAATTTTGACTGTCCATGTTTATATAACGTGAAATGAGGCTGGAAGTAGTCAGCGAGTGGTGAATAGGTACGAATTTGGAAGCCTTTCGTCGACTGCTCTCCTACAGATCGTCTGGAAAGCTATGAAGCAACGTTAGGATAGCCGATAATATTGCCAAGATTAGAAGTGAGAACCTTCGGAAACAAGTCTAGAAGCATTGTACTTCATTTCATGCACCTAAATTACGAACATCTTCTGGAGCCTTACGTTTGGTAAAATTAATTTTATTTAAAATTCTTGTACATATTTACATATTTTTTTTCCCAGCGATGGCGTATATGTTCAGTACCAGCCTGTAGCAGTATACGCATTATATGTTTATGGTATTTTCGCCACAGAACTAGCGACCATCATGCGCAGATATTATGTACAGACGGAAGATTATATCTGTAATGAAGAGTTAGTTTTATTATTGGCCCTAAGTCCGCTAAAATATAATTGTGAAAACTTGCACATTTGAATTGAAGAATAATACAAAATATTATTTTCCTAAGAGTTGATTGTGGAAATTTGGACCTATTCGCATTTTCGCATAGTGGGGTGGTGGAGTCCAGTTGAGTCCACTCGGCACAGCGGCCACTGATTGGCCTATTGTACCTGCCCGGGTGATTATGATGATGGAGAATTTGGTGCAGTGAAGATTGGCAGGGGAAACCGAAGTACTCGGAGGAAACCTACCACAGCGCCACTTTGTCCACCACAAATCCCACTTGACCAGACCCGGGTTTGAACCCGGGCCGCCGCGGTGGGAAGCCAGCGACTAACCACTTGAGCTATGGCGCGGTCAACAAATTTGGACATATAATCATGGCTTACCGTTTCGAAGTAACAATGCTTAGGTCTACTGATTTTTGCTTCTCCTTCGAAAGATAAAGAGTTTTTGAATATCGAAATCTTGGTAAGTTTAAGCAGTGTATGTTTGTAAACTCTGTAGACGGTCTGCAGGTCTATTGTAATCCTGAATAAAAATTTATGAGGCATAACTTTTGGAGCAAACATTAGTAATTCTCTTGTGAATTGGGGGAAATTACAAAAATCTCCTTGCCCTGTTCAGCAATCATATTCGTTCTAATGGGGTAGACATTTTGCTTGCCCCCTTCCCCGCCTAAGCCCATGATAGCGCAGTTCATATACAGAGCTTCTCACGTTCCGTTTTTCCTATAGGACATAGGCTTGCCGTTACTATGCTTATCAGTTCAGTCTTGAGTTCTGGATAATGAACCGCCATTGTTCTAACAGTCAGAAGCGGAGTGTATTGGTTTCCGGGCCAATTCATTCTTAATAGGGATTTGATAAAGGGGAAGGCCCGCAGTTTCGGCGCCAGCCGGTCGCTTTCAACATTCTTTGTTCGCAATTTTGTTGACATCGCTTGCCACCTAGTGCCCCATCATTAATTCATCAAAAACTTAACAATTGTTAGTACGTAGCAAGTGGTTACTAAATAGTGTCGTATTGCCAAGTAAGCCAACTCCATGGAGCGGACTCCTCGTCGACAAGCTGTTAGTGTGTTAAGGTTCGGCCACACAGAGCGCTACGCTATGTTCGCTACGTACGCTACGTATGCTGTGTACACTCTGCGACGCAGCTAACATAGGGAACGTAGCGTACGGAAGTCTGTGTGGCCAGTCACGTTGGCAATAAAGGGAGATATTTTTCTGTTCGTATTACGAACATAGCGTACGTAGCGTGCGTCGCGTACGTAGCGTTCTGTGTGGCCGAATCTTTAGCCAGTCAATAAACTTTCTGCCTTATATGCAACGCGAAAGTTCATTACCGCTTTCATAAAAATCAGCCACAGGTACTTTCCCTGAACCAGTCACATCATCCTTCAAGAATACATATTTTAATATTATCCTCCATATACGCCTAGGTCTCTCAATTGAGGGTTTCCGACCACGATTCCATATTCATTTCTCATCTCTTCCATGACTTGTCCATGTCATAGCCCTTGATATTATCAGCCTTATAATATATGTATATGCGGGTGTATAGAAATTATAGAACTCATTATGTAGTTTTCCCCATCTCTCTTACTTCATATTCCTTCTCCCTTTCTATGGATCTACAACCCTTTGGATCTTGGCCGCTTTTTTTCAGTTTCTTAATCCCATACACAGTAGGTAGAACTCCTTGGACGGGGGATCAGCCCGTCGGAAGGCTGCTACCTACACGCAGAACAACACAAACACGTATAAACGTACACAGACATCCATCTCTCGAGTCGAATTCGGACTCATGACTCCAGTGTTCGAGCGGGCGAAGACGGTTCATGCGTTAGACCACGCGGCCACTGTGAACGGCGTTACTTCATCTTAGGACCAAATATTCCCCTCTGAACTTTCGACGTAGGTAGAATGTTGTGAGACATTATACTAGTGGGGTGAGTTTAAACCTCTTTGAGCCGTCTGAGGCGATAACATCTATAGGGAGTTTCGTGTTTTCTTTAGCGCTTGGGTAACTATCGCAAAGCGCCGCTGACCTACACGTCCTCCTCATGGTTTGAATATCCGCTCAGGAACATGCCACTGACGGAGAATCACAGCTTCACTGTGACAATGCTCAGCATGTTAACATTTCACATGCACAGGTCACGGGCGTCGAACCATATCATAACAGGAAGAAGCCGTTTAAAATACAAGACAAGACATGATCGTAGATAAAGCCAGTTTTGGGAGTATGTATAGCTTGAGAACTTCACGTGTATCCGCCTTGGAGTCGAATACAATGTTGTATAAAGAATTTAAGGCTTTATCAAGATATTCAAAGCCACCTAGTAAGTACCTAAGAGGGTACGAGGTCACTTGTTTTCCTCCCAGCATTATTTTCCATCTCTGCATGTAACACCAGAGAGCGTCTTGGTCGATGTTTTAACATTCGTGTTTCGTATTCAAGAATTCCAGTGCTAAAATATTGGTCCGAGGACCAGCTATTCTAAGGTTTCTGATAATTTCCCCTAGACAGTCTACCCAACAATGGGTTCATAAAATAAACAAGATAGAACGAGGCACTATGCTACAAGCCGGAAGGTCGCGGGTTCAAGTCCCGATGAAGTAATTGGATTTTTTTTCAATTGACCTAATCCTTCCAACCGCACTACGACCCTGAGGTCGACTGATCCTCTAACAGAAATGAGTACCAGGAATATTCTTGGGGGTAAAGGGCGGCCGGCGCGTAGGTGCTGACAAACTTGCAGCCATCTATGAGCGGATTGTTTAGAAAATGTGGGAGCCTCGACGTCTCACAACCCTGTGGGCCTCCACGGCCTGTTACAGGGATACATTTGCTTTACTTTTACCTTGCTTTAGACACTGTAGTGTCAACATCTGCTTCATTTTGCTGTTAATCACTTCGCTACATGTTTCGACCCTTATCTTGGTGTCAGTTTCTGAGTTGCATCATTTATTCAGTATGAATTCATATTGTATCTATATTGTCCTGATAATACACTTGGTTATTTAAAATAATTATAACGTGA